TTTGGGTGTCTCCTTCTCCCTGTGCCCTTACAGGCCTACAGGTGAAAACAGCTCCCTATTGGTGCTCGCCTCTGGGTTTTGTACCAGCTCTTGCTTATTTTCCTTAATTTTGCCCTTCCCTTTATATATCTTTCCTTTATGAAACTCTCTTTCACTATCCTACATGAGTATAACATCTGTTTCCTGCCAAGATCCTGCTGTATTCTACAAAACAGCTCCCCAACCTTGAAAGGTGTTGTTTCCTGAGAGGTGGTTTAACTGAGTCTTCAATAGGGTATGCTACTGTTCCATTGGCCCAGCTACTTCACGGTGATGGGGTTTAGCTTTGGCCATCCACTCTGACAAAGTTGTCACATAAGCATTTCTAGAAGCCAGGTCAGCCTTTATGTATAAAAGTCCACATTATCAAAACCAACATTGTAATCTTCTTCCCTGTTGTCATGATTACTTTCTCACAAAACTATTGAGCAAGTTCTTTTCCATTTTGATTATTTAAAACTACCTCTGCAGAGAAGGGTCTTTACTAAGCAGCCACATGAGACATAAATATCTTCATATTCCAGGTCTGTTTAGGGGTCTGTTCTTGCAGTTATTTCCCAAACTTCCTTGCTGTTAATTACCTAATATTTTTCTTTTCTAGTCCATGACAATGTGGCCAAATCATTGGCCTCTATCTGTAAATAGATAAATGATTCAGCTCATCTATTTTTCCAGTCAAAGTAGACAACCAGAAAAATTTCCCCTAGTCAATGCCACCAAATTCTCCAGAGCTGTCTATAAATCTGGTTTTATTTTTTTCGTTCTCAGTTAGCTGATCAAAGGGACCTTTCCATGAACTGTAGGTATGTGTTAAAGCAATGCATCAGGAGTCAACACATTATTATTGTAAGAAATCTTCTGATGTAACTTTCTTGAGCCTTCATGACCTTCTCAAGCGTTGTACGAATATATCATTTCCACTTGGTAATGGAGTGCCGCTGGGCACAATCAACTGTAGGCTTGATGGATCAGATAACATCCATTAAACATCGTGATGGGCAGCTCATGTCATTGAGTGATCATTGAGAGCCCAGGAGCTATTTCTCAAAAGAGAAATAGTTATTTCCTGAAAAAAAAAACCATGGATTTTTCTCCAAAACCCTAGGGACCTCCACTGTGATTCTCTAATAGGTATTTGCCACGGGCTGCATAAAGCATTTTGCTCTCTGACAGGTATCTTAAGTGAGTTCATTCTGTCATATAGATCTGATGCAGGCCTGCTTATATAGTAGCCTGAATTATCTGGAAATTATTTTATTTTTATGAGCCCTACTCAAAACTTGCAACCAGTATGTGTTGTGCCTCTTTTAATAGCAGAAAATGCAAGGTATAGCAACTTATCTTTTCACTTTGGTGGAGGTATAACTACTGGACCACTCAGGAACATCACTGAGGTGGAAGACCCCTGTTTTTCATGAAATTTATCTTCTATCCATTAGCACACGCATGTCTTTATAAGGCATCAAGATTATATGCTAACCGATATTCTCCAGATCTTATAAGCATGATGCCATCAATGTAAGAAATCTGTGTGGTGTTCTGTGAAGTAAAGATATTATCAAAACTTTGTAGATTAAATTGTGTCAAAGAGCCAGAAGGTTATATAGCCTTGAGGCCAGAAAGTGAAGATGCAGTACTGTCCATGCCAAGTGAATGCAAATCCCCCTGATGTTTTCTACTTTTTGGAAAAGGGAGAAAGCGTTTGTTAAATCAATTGCTGCATCCAAGGTGGTAGAGGCTGTTTTGATTTGTTCTAGTAGAGAGACAACAACTTGAACAGCAGTTGAGATTACAGTCGTGAGTTGGTTGAGCTTACGAGAATCTACTACCATTCTTCAGAGTCCATCTTCCCTCTGCACTGCCAATTGGTATGATATATAGTTTTCTATATGTTGTCTAAAATGTGTTAAGAAATAGTATTATACTAAATAAGAGATGTGTTCATCCCTATATCCTTAGAGTCTGTGTGTGCCCATCACATAGTAAGGCCCAGCAAATAAATGACTAAATGAATAGGAATATGATAACTGAAAATTCAGTATGAATGAATGAATGAAAGGGAGTTTGAATACATTCTCGACTGGAATTTTAAGATAAAGCATTTCATGTTCATTTTCTTTTAAGGACTAAGGTAAATATAGATATTAGATTCTGTATAATCACTTAGGCCCTGAAGAATATTTTAAATCAAGTTGAGGGTTCCATGTGTTAAATCATACAGCAAAGAATCAAAAAATACTAACATCCTAGAAATTATTGCTATAAATTTAAAGCACAATAAAACAAATCAAATGAAAAAGAGGATTTTTTCCTAATTATTATGAATATTTAATTTGAAAAAGAGAAAGATGGTATTACTACATCCTTCAAGTATATAAAAGATTTTTAAAAGGTGCATAGTGATTAGTTATTTATTGCTATGTTGTAAATTACTCCTAAACATGGCAAATTAAAATAACAAATATTTCTTATCTCACAGTTTCTGTGGCCAGGAATTTGGGGACAGCTTGGCTGCATGGTCCTGACTCCAGGTTCTCTATGAAGCTGTAACCAAGCTGTAAACCAAATCTGCAGTCACCTGAAGTCTGGACTAAGGTGGAGGACCTGCTTCTCGATGGCTCGCTTCCTCCACCCCACTTCCTGCCTTCCTCCCTGTCCCACTGATGGAGGGGAAAACTTGCTTTTAAATATTTGAATCTAGAACTTCTCTTTTAAATTTACAAAAGCTAAAAAAGTGGATCTCGTGGAGGTAGAGAGTAGAATGGTGGTTTTGCTTTTGGAGAAACCCAAATAAGATAAGAAATAATGTTACTGAATCCATATTGAATGCCAAGAACCATGCTAGACATTCTACTCTCATTATCTTCTTTCATATTCTAAACATTTTTGTGGGATTATAACTGAACCAACCTGCATTTATTTGCCCGTTTACATTGGAAAGTCAAACACCAAAGCACCGGGTTTTGGCAGCAAGAAAGGTTTATTGTCAGGCAGCCAAAATAAGGAGACAGGAGTCAGACTCAAATCTGTCTCTTTGAGCTGGGGGTTTGGGGGACGTTTTATAGTCAGAGGGTAATGAGGTGTGATCTGGTTGGATCTTGCCATGTGGTGATGCCAGGAGACATGCTCTGACTGGATTCTGCCATGGCGTGATGTCAGGGCTTGATCTGATTGGATCCTGTATTCTGCCATGCAGTGTCCACATCTTAATTCAGTCCCCAGTCCTCCGTCCAAGCACTCAGTTTCCATCCACGGTTGCATGCTTGGTCCATCTGGGCATGCTCAGGTTACATGATCTTCAACCTGGGGGTCCGTGGCAACTGAAAAACAACTCACAACTTTGCCACATGAAAGTTGAACCAGTTTGATTTGATGCAGTTACAGGAGTGGGTATGATTATACTCATTTTGTAGTAATAAATTAGAAAGCCAAGACTCAAAATAATTAAGTGACTTCAGGGTTACAGATAATATTACATAGAAAATTTGGCAATCCAAATACTTCTTTACGTGATCATTTCTGAATTAATGATTGTATAGAAAAAGAATCAAACTTTTTTATTCAGGATAAAGCTAAAAGAAACATATTACAAAAATAGATCTGTTTCTTAGGTTTAGCCAAAATCTGTCAAACTAAGATATAGAAACAGAATATAATGAAATAGTATCTGGAGACATTGTATATTGAACACTTAGATGTCATTTAAATGCCTTATTTATAGTCCACTTTCTTTATTCTGGAAAATAGACACAGGAAGATATGTCAGTGGAGAGCTACCCGAATGAGTCAGATTTCATAAGAAGGTATTAAAAGATGAAACTGATTTGGCCTCTGTGACATTGGAGAAAGAATTAGACAAAGGGGACTTTTTTGAGTGCTTACATACTGAAAAGAAAGGTTTAGATTGATGAGAAAAATTATTGAGAAAAATTTCTCTTTCATATTAAAATTCTCATTCAGAATTAATTTTTTTAAATCTTCCCAAGTCACACAGGCCATATATATAAGGGTTATTGAATTATAACATGAAATGTCAAATCCAATAAATATGGGGAAGGAGATAGCTGGGCAAATATTAAAGGAAGTGAAGGACAAAGAAATACGTTTTTTATATGCAGAGGCAAGCCTGACTGAAGCATTTCCTAGATTTTTAGAAATTATTTTAGTCAAATTGGAAAATTTAGAAATATTTGGCTAGAATTACAGAGCTTTACCCAATTGAACTAATGGATGTTACTCTCTGTGATCCTATGGTCTAGCTATCAAGTATATAATTCTTGAAAAATAAGGGTGATAAGTTTATATGAGGTGGAACCCAGCATCTTCATAGAAAATAGAATTGTGCTCTCAGTTTTCGTGAAGTTTGAGAATGCTTGATATTTCTATTAATCTCTGAGACAACCAAACAAAACGTATGGTAAATCTTTATTATGTATTACCTTTGCTGTTGCTATTGTTTGCCTTTGTAATGCCACATAAAATTATGAAGAACTGGTCAATTTGAATTAGGCATTATAGTATGAGTCCTTTGAATTTTTGAATGGTTTTCACTTATGTATCACCCAAAAGTATTACATCATATCATTTGCTGTAAATTTATTAGCTCTGCTATGAAGTCATTTCATTTTGAACCCTAGACAAAGTTACTTGTAGCCAACTAAGCTTTCATAGCACATCCTATAAGTCACATTTTAATAAATGTCATTTTCTAAGTGCATTACCTCATGTTTTGGCTACAACCCAGCTGAATCCCGAGAGAATAAGAGAAATGTGCTTTTTGACTGGTTCATCCATATTTTACTTTACTTTTCATTAAGAAATTACTCTTTGAAGAAAATCAATAATCTTCTGTGACTGAAGGGAGAGGTCAGTGTGTTGCAGCAGTGCATTTTAATATCTCGAATCAGACTGCCTTTGCCAGCTGTTGCTGATAGAGTTTTTGTCCTTTCTTATTCCTGCAGCCTGGGTACATGGCGACCCTAGGAGAGTGGCTTATCCTACAGACAGCCAGGGCCACTTTTGTGGCCAGAAGGGCACCCCCAATGAGTGAGTATGGCCACCTTTGCTTTGTGTGATTTTACTGTCAAAACTAGAACCTAGAAATCACTTTCACTTTAATCCTACTAGATTTCTTAAGAAGACTGAAATTCGTAAAGAAGGCCTTTCCTCTCCCTTTTCTACAGATAGCTGTCATACGATATGACTTAAGACACCATATCATTGTTATGCAGCATTTTATTAGACTGCGTGGAGACTCTGCTTAGTAAAAATATAATTATAATGAGTGAGTTGGACCAGTAGTCTTATCAGAAGTCATATTTTTAAAATGCCTTGTAAAATGAGCTATTAGAAGACTGAGTTGTGAGTAGCTGCTAAAAAGCTAGACAGTGCAGTTGTTAGAATGATTTTTGTCACACTGCCTACTGATAAATCATTCCATCTTTCAAAGTGAGAATCACACCCTGAAAGTCTTCAGTGCTTGGTAGGCTTTTCAAGGCAACTCACACTGCTGTGGACGAGGCTCCTGAGCAGCTAAAACAAACAAGGAAGAATGTTTCATCGAATTTCTTTCTAATGTTAATCAGAAGTTTCCATTTCTGAAAGCAAGTTTTCTATTTTTTTTTTTAACCTAAAAAACAAACCAAAAACCCCCATAAATCTCACATTTTTAGAAAATTTTCCCTCCTCTCTCACTGGTCTGTTTCTTTTCTGTGGATACCTGGGGTTGTTGCTGAATCTTCTGGTTCTTCAAAACCAATTCTATTTATAAAAGCTGGTTTGGAATGGTTAAAAAAAAAAAGAAAAAAAGCAACAAAGGCTCCCTCCCCACAAGAGCAACAGCAAAAACCATGGCTCAGAATGCTTCAGTTAAGTTCTTTGTGCTGCCCACTTGTAACTGTGGAGTTTATTATTCCAAGAGAGACACAGATTAAAAAAATAGATCCAGGAAAAGGTTGACAAAATTCATAAAGTAGAAGTAGTAGATTATCACAGATAATCAAGAAAACTCAAAAATTTCAGGTGGGGGAGGAAAATCCTTAATCATGCATGTCTCGGTGAGTTTATGGGGGACAGATTAACTACTACAAAGCGTCCTCATTGCCTATTAGAGACAAGTGGACTAAATTCTGATCCAGAATGGTAATTCTTATTTTAACTTCAGTAACTCAGAAAATCTTAGACATTGCCAACATGCCAACAAAACCTTCACACTATGAAGGACAAAGAAAGCACCAATGGTAAAAGAAGTCATACAAATCTCTAAATCTCTAGTTCTTTCAAACAGGCTATTTTTAAAAGAGCTTTTGTAACAATAAGTTTTCCAGACCTAAGCCAATGACCCACTTATTTCAAACAAAAATGTGCCACCACAAATTTCAGTCCATAAAGATCATTCAAAGACTATCCTCAGTTAACAGGTAGACATGTTCCTCAAAGTATTATTTATAATAACAATATATTGTAAACTATGCAGATATCCAATAATATGTGAATAATAATAAATTATGGCCCATCAAGTAAATGAAATATAATGGAGCCATTGAAAATTATGTTCGTATGTTCAATAGTTGATTCTGTTGATTTTTCTTTATAGTTTCTGGGTTTTATGTCATGATTATAATTGCCTTCCTCCTCCTGAAAATAATATTCTCCTATATTTCTCTAGTATTTTTATGGTTTCCTTTCCTATAAATTTCTAATCTACTTGGAATTTCTTTTTGTATATGGACTGAAGCAGAAATCAAATTTTTTTCCAAATGCAGAGCCAATTATTTCAGAATAGTTTGTTGAATAATATGCCCTTTTTCTCTTCTGATTTCTAACAAAATTGTTATATAATAAATTTATATATGTTTGTTTCTGAACAGTCTGACCTATTCCAATGTATATTTTTAAGCCTCTCGATTGTTTTAAATGTGTATCGATTTAAAATTTTAATAAGTTACTTTAAATTGTGCTAAGTGCTTTATTAGTAAGTAAAAATATTTATAAGTATAGGGAAGGCCCTAGAAAGGTGTTCAGCAAGAGGGATCCAATCCGTTTTACATTTTTGTAGGACCATTGTGTTGCTTTTTTGTACCTTCTTGAGCTGTTTCAATTGTTCACAATAAGCATGTATGCAGAAAAATATTAGGCTTTTCTCATTTTGAAAAAGAATAATGGCAGATTTCATTATAGATATGAAATAAAATTATGAGTAATTTTTATTTTATTTATATGCTTATATGTATCATAAATTTCTATCAAAAATATGTATTCTTTTGCATTCCCCCCAAATTTTCCAAAAATAAAGAATTAAAGAAAAGTACATAAGCTGAGGCAATGGATTATCTTAGTTATTAAGGCCCTTTTTAAAAAAACAGGCAAATTTTTTTTTTTAAATGAATAAATACCCTGGAGTCAAATTCTGACTTTACCTCCTTATAGTATTGATCTTTGGGCATGAAACACAACCTACCTCAGCCTTAAATTTCTGATAATGATGCAAAAATTAAATGACAGAACGGTAATTCAGAAGAAATTTGTGTTGTCCTTTCTATTTACAAAGCACTTTCATGTTCCATACTACATCATTTGTTGAGGTCTCCCACAGGGCCAGTCACTATGCGATATGCTAGAGATACTCCAGTACGTAAGACACAGATTTCTTTTTCAAGGATCTCTTCGTCTTCAGGGATAGAGTCAAGAAAGCCATGGATTTCAATCTAGTGTGTTCAGTACAGCGTGCTGTCTTAAGACTGAAGTATACTGCTGTCAATCCCACCAGAAGCAGCCCCCACATGTCCCCCCACCATTCGTTTCCCTAGTAAGTCTCTGGCATAAGACCCTGATTTACTGTCTTGAGTACTTATCACCACCTGAATTTATCCTGATTATTAAGTTGTTAACTTTGTTTATCTCCCCCCACTGTGCCCAAAGTTCTTTGAGATCAGGGCATTCTGTGTCATTTTCACTGTTGTGTCCTCAGTACCTACAACAATGTCTGGCATTGTAGTAGGTGCTCAGTGAATTTATTGTTAAATGAATGAGAATAAAGGGGAAACACAAATAAGAATGATTTGCTCCCCAGGTGGAGATCAGTGTAAAGATTTTATCAGAGCTTCCTAACACCATTGCTAAGTGCATCTCATTATTATACTATCATTTGGAAAATTAGGAAGCTGAAATTCAGAAAGATGAAAGTACTTGTTAAAATCCGAGTGACTACTAAATGGTGTCAATGGAAAAAAAGACCAACTCTGTAAAATAATTTTAAAGAGATTTACTTTGAGCCAAATTTGAGGACCATGACCCAGAGCCACGCCCAAGAGGCCTTGAGCAAGTGGACTCAGTGTGACTGGGTTATAGTTTGGTTTTATACATTTCAGGGAGACAGGGGTTACAGGTAAAGTCACAAATCAATACATGGGATGCATACATTGATTTGGCCCGAAAAGGTTGGCCATCTTGAAGCAGGGTCGGGGGTGGGGGGGGGGTGTTACAGGTTATTGGTGGGTTTAAAGATTCTTTGGCTTGTAATTGTTTAAAGACATGAAGCTTTCTCTAAAGGCTTGGAATGTTTTAACATAGAAACTATTTATCAGAGATAAGCCACCGGACATATACTTGTTGTGTAAATTGAGGATTTGTAGGTTTGTCTTGCATACCTTAGGCCTATTAATGGGCTACAAAGGATGTCTCCAAGAAGGGAGTGGGGCATGATGAGGCATGTCTGACCTCCTTCCTACTGGCAGGCACTTTAGTTTTAGGATATTCCTTTGGCCACGAGGGAGTCCATTTAGTCAGCCCGTGGGGGGGTGAGTCTTAAAATTTTATTTTAGTTCACAATGGCAAAGGTAGCACATTCTAACTCCAAATCCTGTGCTCTTTAGGCTGCACACTGACACACTTGTAGTGAAATTGGTTTTCCATGTGGCATGTTTAACTAGGCCTAAAAATCTTAAACAGAGCTGGTAAAAAGTATCATTAATTTTTTTAAAACTCCAAATAAATTTGTGTGTGTGTGTGTGTGTATTTCTCTGCCAATTGAAATACATCTATATCAGAATGTATTTATGTAAGCAATTTAGGCAGCTTCAAACTAGGGGAATTTACTTGTTAGATTGAAACAATATACTTATTTGCGTCATTATGTACTTAAAGCAATCCTTAGATTCCCAACTCTGGGAGACATTTTTATGACTGCGTTTAAATTCCATGTCTGGAGATGGTATAATAATATTTGAGATACAGAGTTTGGCCTTTTATGCTTTATGACTAAGTGAAAGGACTCTAGGAGAAACACCGGGAGTTTTCTGAAGTGTCAAAACAGATGAAACAGAGACTTCAAAGGAAAACGGAGTGCTTTGTTATTGTGTGTAACTTTCTTTGACTCTTGAGTTCCAGGAAAGTTGTTCACGATACTTGGGTACAGACCTTTTCTTTGACATTTCCACTAAAAAGCAAATAGTTGATTGATTTTTGATGCCACCTTCTGGCTACTACAAAAACTTCAGCTTATAAAGGTTATGTTAAAACAAGTTTGAACATTGTCTGATGCAACACCATTGCCAAATTAGACAGACTGAAATGCCTCCCCCACCATGAGGTTCAGATAAGGAAACAGGATTGGTTGGATATATGTGGATGGTTTTATATCTGGGTTTTCTGTTCTGTTCCGTTGATTTATGTTTCTATTTTTGTGCCTATATCATGCTGTTTTGGTTACTAAAGTCTTGTAGTACAGTTTGAAGTCTGGTGATGTGATGCCTCCAGATTTGTTCCTTTTGCTTAAGATCACTTTGGCTATTTAGTCTCTTTTCTGGTTCTAACAAAAGTATACAATTATTTTTTCTAGATCTGTGAAATATGATGTTGGTATTTTGATGGGGATTGCATTGAATCTATAGATCACTTTGGGTGGTATGGACATTTTAACAGTGTTGATTCTACCAATCCATGAGCATGATATGTTTTTCCATTTGTTTGTGTCTTCTGTGATTTCTTTCCTCAGTGTTTCATAGTTCTCTTTGTAGAGATCTTTAACCTCCCTGGTTAAGTATATT